ATCCGAATTTCCGATTTCAACACACATACGAGAACCGGACATACACACCCGGTGCATGGTCTGCGATCCGACGTAGTCGGATTGCCTACCTGACTAGCTACTTGCATACGAGCGATTTACACCCCACACTGCATCCGATCAGCCGCAAGCGGATTGTCCGTTCGGGAATCGTCTTTCACCCGAGATGACTGATAGCTAGACACTCAAACTCAGAATCTGAATTTCCGATTTCAACACACACACTCCAGAACCGGACATACACGCCCGGTGCATGGTCTGCGATCCGACGTAGTCGGATTGCCTACCTGACTAGCTACTTGCATACGAGCGACTTACACCCCCACTGCAACCGACACTCGGGAATCGACTTTCACCCGAGATGACTGATAGCTAGACACTCAAACTCAGAATCCGAATTTTTAAGATTTCAACACACACACTCAAGAACCGGACATACACGCCCGGGCATGGTCTGCGATCCGACGTAGTCGGATTGCCTACCTGGCTGGCTGTGTCTTACGATCGACTTGAATCGCGTGACTTACGACTAGACACTCTTCCGAGTTCAAAAATTACCGCTTAACCAGTGCTGCCAACACGACAAAACACAATATCCGACGACCCCCCCTTCCCGCCGCAGGCTGGATCAAAAAACCCAGCATCGCCGACAAAGATGCACCACCACCCACACAGTCTTTCCGCCGTAGGCGGGATGACAAACACCGGAATCTAGTCATATAATAAAATACAAATACTATCCATAAATCGTAATTACCCAGTAATCAGTATCAGCAGACGAAGTTCTAATGAAACTTTCAAACAAAAAGGGACGTTTGGAATATTTTTGTACCTAATAAAATAATATTCATAGTCAATACCAATATACCATGTCTATTTAATATTTGTATAATTTATTGTTTTGTATAAGTTTTTTTCAATTTTCTTAAAAAAAGTATTATCGCAAATATGAGTGTGAACTCTGAATATTTTAACTATGGTCTTCGATAGAACTTATTGAGTTGGGTGAAGCACTCCGATAAACATAATATTATGTACCTATACTCTATAGGTATATATAATTTAATTCACCCCCTTATTAAGATGAGACTGAAAATACATGGAAGCTTGAGCTGACAGTAAAGACTTCATGTACAATTTAAAACTTTTTCAGAATCTTTATCAAATAGAACCTAACTACGAAATAACTAAGTAAAACTGGATACGAAAAATGTCTAAATAGAATTAATATTGTCCGTGTAACAGATGGACAGACACAGTGAATCATATTACACGCTTCTTTAAAATTCATGATAATAATAATTTAATAATAACTAATGACCATTAACCTCAGACCTCAGTATATGAAGCAGATATGTACATATATCATATATGTACAATCGAATTGCTACCTACCTACTTATTAATACATTGTATCTATCAAAAAATTGTTATGATTTATTTTATCAGGATAAAAATCACTGGGTGTCTTGGTAGGTCAGGAATTTAATATTTTTTATCGAATAATTAAAAACAAAATGTTACCTATTTCGACATTGTTTAGACTATTTAGTGGTTTTCAACCTTTTTTTGTCCACGGCTCCTTTTGATTATGAAATCAAAATATATACGGCTCCTATATAAGCAAATTTAAATAACAATTATAATTATTAATCTTTATTAAATTTATTTAATGACGAAATCTGTCGATCGGCCTTCTATCTCACACACACAAGCGCGCATAACATGTATATAGGGCGCGCGGACTTACACGTCCGCGAAAAAAAGGTAACAAAAACTATAAATCATAACAATTTATTTTATTATTAGTTTCTACTGCCAACGCTGCTCACTTGATAATAACCGACGACGCCCATGGGAGCTGCTACGCACAGGTTGAAAACCACTGGTCTATAGACTAATTATACTTTATAGGTGGGTTAGTTAGGTAGTGTTTTAAGTCACTGAATCTGAAATTGTTGGAAAAAGTAATCTGTTTTAGATTCTGACAGGAACGATGAATGTAAATTATTGTTACAATTCTTACAATGATGCTATGCATGTTTTTATTTTTGTTATTATTATTTTTATTTTTTACGTGAACAAGATAATAGTAGTCGAAATGATGCTTCAATTTTCAACTTTAGTACCTTTCTGGTGGGAAAGTGAATTTAGTTGGTGCTTTAAGAGGTCAAAATGGTAAATTCAGAGAAGTTTTTAAAAGCATTGGGAAACACAAAATAAAATTAGGATTTTTTAAGCAAAACCTGTTTTTCCACAAAATGGATTTTGTTTTTTGGTGCAACTAAAATTGGCTACAGACCATAGTCCACAACACAATATTCAACCAAAAGCATAGCTAATCGGCAAACGCTTCCGAAAATAACAAAATCAAGATCAGCAGATAATAAGAGTTTAAAATTAGAACCAAATATGAAATAATATGAAAATGAAATGATAAACGTTGCTCGCGCGGAGTCGGTCGATTTATTTTTAAAATATTTTTTTACTTTCCTACCTATATGATAGAAAAGTAGAAAACATGTCACAAATAATACTTTATCACCAATGAGATTATGGTGAAACAAAAAATGCCATAACTATGTTTTTTTACCCAGAAACTTGGCCTTGTAAGAAAACGATATTGCTGCAATTGGAATTGAATATATTTGATGCTTAGCAAAAACGCCGCGATCATAATTTGCTAAGAAATATTGCCGTACCTACCTATGTCTTAATTATTCATTTCATATATTAATTATTTATGCGGTTAAGCGGTTTTACTTGTACTTCGCACTTACTCATAACTCATAAGTCATAAGTAATAATCTATATTTACGGCATTGTTGATTAGAAAACTGGTCGCCATTATGCCGTATCTTATAATTGAATTTTAAACTACTAATGTTTGAGATTTCGCTGTTGTACACCACACAAAATAATTGGTTAAGTTCTCCATAACATTTGGTCGTGAATATAATACGAAGTTTTTATTTTAATTTTGTTAATTTTGAAAACTAATTTGTATATGACCCAAACGGTATTATTAAGATATTTTTACTAAGTAAACAAAAACAATTGTACTTGTAAATAATTAATATCGTAGTTCGTAGTTACCTAGGTACTTAGGTAGTACAAATATCAAAATCAGAATATCTCGGTGAAAGAAGTTAAAAGTTGTAAATTAAGTTTCATTGCATTCTTCTTGTACATTACAAAAATATTAAATAAATTAAATTAGAAAGTTATTATATTCATGAAAATATAACAACCAATAATTACAAAATAAAATACCAGTACTCGCGCCGGAAGTTAAACTTCTTTTGAATGGTACACGTGAGTGAGTGAAAAAGAAAGAAAAAAAATATTAATTAATTAAATAATATTGACGTGGCCCGATTATAATATATATATATAATATAACAACACTACCATGACAATATTTATTTATTTACGGACATGTACGGCTGTCGCGTTCGTACGCGCCGCCCGTTCGCTTTTTTTTCCTCACTACCCTGCGTAAAGAAGTATAACTTCAAAAATTAATTTTTATTTTACTCAAAATGCCATGTTTCTGCAATCTTTCTTAGGGCCCGTTTTACAATAGCTAGTTTAACTCGAGGAACTTGGTTCATCAACTGATCCTAGTTTAAGTTAGCAAGGCAGCACGGTATACTAACCTTTATAGCTTTACCTATATATACTCAGATATACGCAATCTATCGCCAACGACCATACCACGTTGAATACACCAGTTCTCGTCCGATCACTGAAGTTAAGCAACGTCGGGCGTAGTTAGTACTTGGATGGGTGACCGCTTGGGAACACTACGTGCCGTTGGCATTTTTTTTATTAACTTTTATATAATAATATTGGTTCATTTTTATCGTTTTTATTTAAATTTCTTTGTTAAATATTTAAAACATTAAAAATACTCAAGAATTGTAATATAGATAATTAATTCGGTCATTTTCAGCCTTACATCAAAATGGAAAAATAACTTACTAATATAGTTTAACAGTTTATTTTATATAACTAAAATAAAAAGAATGATATAATTTTTGTTTTTTATAAAATGTTCTGCAGCTTGCTGGGCCATCTTGTAGTTGGATAATGTACCATTCATTAAATTAATAATTATCATTAAAAATATTGTTAAAGTCGAATATTTTTTGCGGTAGTAATAATAATAATTAATACGGTTTATCAGCTATTAGTTAATTATTACGATTTGTCTTATTATGTAATAATAATTGCCAATTGTATATTTTTTTAGTAGTACAATATTGAAAAATCGTATTCAATAGTTCTTTCTTTTTTGTATCAGAATTCTGCCGACAGTTGTCGATTGTCGACACAAATCGATTGCGATTTGCCATGCCAAAATCGTAACACGGCCAGCCGCAGCTGCCGTCATCTTGCCTCGTCGTGCCACGGTATAATAATATTAATACAATAAATTGTTCATATTCAATGACGTAAGCAGACTGTTGGCTAGACGTTTGGCACGGTGGTGGTCTTATCACAAGTCGAACGAATATGGTCCGATTGATATCCGGCGAGCATTATCGATAACGAGTAGCCACTGGATCCGAATGGTTTTCATATTGTAATATTTCACAACAGTGTTAAAACGTATTATTACTAACACTTTTTACTTGATCGTGTTTCGGTTAGAGGTTAAAGTTTAAACGTACTTATTCAATCGGCCGCGATAAATGCAATGCTTGTACATTTTCTAAGAATAAAAATGGCTCGTTGTTGACCACACAAAATATGATGTAAGTACCTATGATTTTTTTTTCGTAATTCCTTGTTTTTTTTTCTTTTGTCACTGACAATAATACAATAATTGCATAATATTAACAATTCCGATGTCAGTTACTTGGTACATTTTTGTTACACTGCCACTGAGACTAAAATTTGTTCCAGACATATCTTCGCGATGCAGTAGCGACACCAAAACTTATAAACATTACTCATCTATCGTTACTTAGTCATTGATGCAGTGTCGGTACTCAAGCATCCTTACCAAAATGTTTTGTTTTACGAAAAATAAAATATTGTTACCAGTTCAACTCAAGAAACTTGGCGAACATACTTATAAATGTGAGAGCCGAAGTCTTACCGATGTGTATCTGCAACCCTTTTGGAATTGGCTAGTATTAAAAACACCCATATGGATGGCACCTAACTTAATTACACTAATTGGACTGATCGTAAATGTTGTCACTACACTGGTGATTATACGTTATAGTCCAGATGCTAATTCAGAAGTAAGTGGGTATTTCTGTTTGATTCAATTGAAATTAACATAGACCTTTCATTTAAAAAATATATACATCATATTTAATTAATCATACACAATTATTCTTTTAACAGAGATGACTCATTATTTTTTAAAAGTATTAACTTATCTGACAGTTTAAGGTAAATGCAACTCTAACAATTTATATTACCCTTATTTTTTTATCCTCATGTTTGCTAATTATATCGTTATTAGTATGGCTTGTATTTTAATCAAAATAATGGTTTTATAACCTAAAACACCAAAAGTTTTTCTAAAAAGGTGCAATTAAAAAAATTAAGTTTTTAAACTTTTTATTTTACAATAGAATAGTTGTTTATATTAAAAACAAGTTGACCATCAAATAGTGGTTATGGGGGAAAAATCATTGTACAATAGTATGCACCTGGAAACAAAAAAATTGCAAACACATTGAATTCCAAGCCCTAGTTATTAGCTTTTTGTAATGGTTGCACTATGTTAGAATTTAATATATTTAAAATTTTACAAAAAGTACTTTTTAAAATATTAAGTTAACTGTTATAAGGATCAAAATGTGTATTAAAATATTAGAAGTTATATTATTTATTGTTTAATATGTCTATATAGTCAATGTACATACAATTGAATTTAGTAGATGGATCTTTTCAAATGTCTACAATTTCAATTAGCACAATTAAAATAAATTTATATATTTTAATATCAACTATTAACTTACTACATAAAAAATATTCTTTCCACTACGTAAGGTATTTTTGAAATAAAATGTATTACAGTGTATTATGCTTTATAATAAGCAGCTACATTTTTATGATATAAATCATATGCGTGCGCAGCCCGTTATGGCAGAGTGGACCAATGATACTTGAAACAAATTATTTTAGGTGTTACAATGTTATCTATAAAATTACATTCATATACTTACCGGTCATCACCTACTGTTTAAATTTTAAGGTATAATATATATATTTTTATTCATAAGTAGGGCTAGGATTTATATGCATTTGCATATTATTTTCCTTAAATCCAAATTGATTGGTTGTGATATATGTCCACGGTTTACCTTATCCTCGATTAAATAGAACCATTTTTTGTTTGCATATTTTATAGATTTAAGAGAATCTTGATAATTTTGTTGATATAAAAAAAATCAAAAATCAGAATGCTTATACCACAGAATAAGACAGTACATGTATATGATGTATATGATGTATATGTATGTATATGATCTAAGTTGCCATCTATAATAACTAATAAATAATAAGTATGGTACAGCTAGGGAGGACCACGGCCCACCTGGCCCACCCTGTGCGCACGCCTATGATATAAATATCATTTAAATACAGTAGGTAGGTTTATTTGAGTGTTATATTTTTATTATTTTTGTATTACCTATTCATTGAACATTATGTATGAGTAATTGTTTGAAAAACATGTTTTTTTTTATTGCCTTATAATTATACTGAGTAGTGATTCACTGTTTGTTTTAGACTTATAGTACTTTCTACTTAGTAATAAATATACCTATATCCTGCTAAAATACTTTAAACTTACATGATTGTATAAACATTAATTTGAAATAAAAATTCAATGTATTAAATCTTTTCCTAAATTTCACTTTTAAAATTAATAATTTCAATTTTGTAAGGAACCCTTACAATTATTTTGTCAAAAATATGTCCATACGTGCATAAAATATGCCTACCACGATAATACCATTTACTCAGTAAATAAGTAATTCATAAAAATGTTTGGACCTTACATAAAATTAACATGTTAGAAGAATCTTAAATCATTAATCATAATTTTTTTATTGAAATTTATTGAAAACCAAAATATATTTAAAATTATAGCTGTTGCTCTTTTTTCTTTTTTTTCATTTCCAAAACAATTTTTTTGTGGAGATAAATATGGTAATATTAGTGTGATGTTTATATATTTCTTCATTACCTATAATGTTTTAAGAATTTTGTCAGTTTTAGTTTCTATACATACTTATATAAATTTATACATAAGTAATCTAATTTTTTAGTAGTAATACTAGTAATAGAATTAAAACAATTGAGTTTTGGAACTTCAGAAAGATCTTATTGTGCATTAATTAGTAATTTTCATACACAAATTTCATAAAAACACAAGTTTAATTTAATTACATTTATTTTGGTTATTTGGTTCACAATACTATTCATATTTGTTCAATTTTTCAATTGATATTTATTTTATAGTTGTATAATTGTATATTGTAAGTATTTGTTGTTCTTATATCTTATAGACGGCTCTATTTATTATAACTTTCCCGCTACTCTCTAAAATGATTTCTAATTTTTTTAAACAATGGCTATTTCATTTTTAAAAACTTCAAATAGTTTTTTATGTAAACTATTTGGTATTGAATATTTTTTGTATTTAAATAAATTATAAAATATCTTAATAAACAATACCAATAGTTAATTTTTAAACGTGTGAATTGCAACAAATAAATAAATTGATTAATATCTAATTTGATATAATTAGGAGTTAGTACTTTTATTTGGAATTCAAACTATTTTAGAGTTCGGATTAAATATAGAATTTCAAACTTTTTGTTCAAATTTTATTCCGTTTGATTTTTAAAACTATGTTCGACTTTTTAATTCAAACCAAACATCTAAGTTTGATTTAATTTTTCAAACTTCGAACAGTTCATAAAAATAAGGACTAGTGGGTACCTCTGCTGATCAGTGTTATATTTGAATTCAATGATAAATCATTGAGAAAAAAGATGTTGTGTCAACCTAGCACATTTGTATAAATAATCTAATTTAATAGTTAAAAAAAAAATTTATAAAAATCTAAAATATCTCAAGGCTATGAATAGCGTGACTGTCTGGTGAACTCATAATTTTTGAAAAAGTTAAAAAAAACTTGTTGGGAACCTTCTATTAAAATTTCTAATCTTAGCTATAAAAAGAAAATCTTTAATGAATTTCTAACTTCAAAATAATTTACAACATTTAAAAAACTCATCTTAGCTAAAAATAGCTCAAAAAGAGTTAAAATTCTTTGACTATGTACAGAAAATAGTAAATACCATGTATGGAAAATGGTTATTTTAACATTTGGTGAACATTTTAAGTATCTAGGACTATTCGTTTTTTTGATTTATAACAAAATATCAAGTATTTATAAATAAAAATAATTTGTTAATTTACCAATGAAAAAACAATATTATAAAAATTTTAAATTCAATCACTCATAAAAAATTAATATAACTTTCCAGTAAACTTTTTTTTATTCTATCAACATTTCTATTGTTAGCTATAAAATGAAAAATTTTAACTTGAAAGATAGTTTGAATATTTTATAATTTTGTCTAAATTTTATTTTATTGCAGTATGATTTTTATTGTTTATAGAATCACAATTATAACTATTTAAGTATATATAACCTATATATTATAATAAGTTATTAAACTAGATCAAACATATTTCTTATTAATTTTGAAATGTTAACCTCCGCGGACATGATTGTTAATAAAAACTTTATTCCATATTTGCAGTATATTTTAATAGTAAAAAAAATATTTTGCTTAACTATTAAGATTATTATTAAATTCCCTACAAAGAGTACTATAAATGTCTGGTTGTCAATAACGATTCATCAATAATAACATAACATAATAGCTACAAATTTGTACAAACTTGTTTTTAAAATTAGAATTAAATTTGATAAACATTAAAAAATAAATACATCTTCTACGGTACCTATAATAATATATTGTATATTATATGCTAATAACCAAGTGGACTTAGAGAACATGATTCTTTACATAAATATTTCCGCTTGAAAATGTATGGGTAGTTGGAGAGTGAGTTGAGGTCACATTTGTAGGATTTAATATTAGTTTCTAATACTGTATTCATTTTAAATCTGAGTGAAATATTTAATTTTAAATTTTAATTTGTTATTAAATAATAATATTGTTATAATTTAAATTGTATATTTACTCATGTATTGATTTTGAACTTTGGTAATAACATTTTCAGATTCCTAGATGGGCAAGCTTTTTGTGTGGTTTTGGTTTATTTGTTTATCAGAGCTTGGATGCCATTGATGGGAAGCAAGCTCGAAGAACTGGTTCTTCTTCACCCTTAGGAGAATTATTTGATCATGGTTGTGATTCTGTTTCTACTGGTAAAATTAATTTAAATATTATTTTAGATCCAAAATAATAGTTTTTATTTCAGTGTTCATTACATTGTCAGCCTGTGTGTCAGTAAAACTAGGAGAATACCCATCATGGATGTTTTTGCAAAGTTTTTTTGCTGTTGCCTTATTTTATTTTGCTCATTGGCAGACTTATGTTTCTGGTATGTTATAATTTTTCAAAAAATTAATGGTATTCTAACTAAGAGTGTCGGAGCCGTTGCATTTTTTAGTACAAAACCATGTCTTTTTATTTAAAAGATGGGAACATTTGGCATTATGGTTTAAAACCCGATTTTCAAAATGATAATTATAGAAGCTAAAATATGCATTTGAATAATGCTCAATATTTGTTCTTTTTCAATCTTATTTTTCTACCACTATTTAAAGTAAAATGAAAATTTGGCCTTTAATCTAATCTGAAAAATGTTCTCTTCTTTTAAATTAATAAAACTAACAAAATCCGACTTCTATAAGAGATTTTTTCCTGTGAAGTCATTTTCGTTGATATAATACACTGTATCAAACCCCCCTCCCCACCCCCTTCACTAAATAGTTATCGAGCTGTATATTATTGGAAAAGTATTATAACCAAGGTAGTCACTAAAATATAAAAAAATAGTTTTCAAATTTTATAGAATTTCAGAAAATTGGAAAAACGAGCACCGACACCCTTAAGTTTATAGTATATTATTATATATTTATAATTTGTTGTTATTTTTTCCTATGCTTAGGTACATTACGTTTTGGTAAGTTTGATGTCACAGAAACACAACTATCTATTATATTTCTTCATTTAATGTCCGCTGTTTTTGGTACCGGTATTTGGGATTATGAAGTAAGTACCAAATCGTATGATAGTAGGTAATATATTAAACAAGATAGTGCACTAATATAGAAAAAAATGTTTTCAAACATCTATAAATAAGTAAATCAGTAAATTAACATGATCATTGTATAAATGTTTAAAGTATAATTATATGTTAGTATTAATCATTGCTGCAATTACCGAGGGTGCAGGGGATGCCATACATAAATACATTATGAGGATATCAGTTCACTTTTTGTTTTTTCCCTATGGCCCACCACCACGAGCAACATAGTAAATTTTGGTTCAATAGAACGAACCTTGTGTTATGGTTGATTATATGTGAATTGAGTGAAATAAGCTATTATCAAACAAAGCTTTAAGTTTGATAGTAGGTGAATTATCTCCAATACTACAGAATGAGGTTAATTATATTTAATGCAAATTTTCCATGTTTTGCGTTTGTCAGAGAGAGAAAACAAATTGTGCACTTACTTCTTAGTCATATCAGACTTATTGGTTTTATTTTAAATGTAGTATAATATTTTTGTCATTAATTCTTCTGATGCATTGTATGGTTCAACTGTATTAAAATGTGCTTCCAATATCTACCTATGAAATTTACTCTTTTTAATCATAATTAAGAAAACTGCATTCAATAAACTTATATATATACATAACAAATCTTCACCTTATTAATTGTATATTATTATATTTATTATAATATTACTGAAAGGAAATATATTTTTATCTTACAGGTTTTTGTTTTGTTGTAATAGTTTTTGTTAAGCCTTTTTTAGATTATATATGTGCAATATGCATATTATGTAGTTTAGTAGTATAACTCTGTATCACTAGTAGTTATAAGCCATGTTTGTATTGTATAGTAATGTTACACATTTTTTTTTTATTCTTTATATAATATATTATGAATTTTTTGTTTTTATTTTTAGATTCCTTTTTTGAATGTCAAGCTGAAGTTTGTATTACTGCTTACAACATTAGCTATATCGATAATTTTAGCCAAATCAAATGTATCTGTCATACTTACTGGTGGTATTGGCAAAAATGGATCTTCAGTAGCCGTAAGTTAAATAACTAGTTACAACTTAAATAAATCCTCATTATTTAATTATTTTAGGGTACCAGTGTTTTGTCTCCTGCTATTCCTCTTTTGTTAGTGGTTCTGCCTGGATATATCATTGCTTGCAAGAGTACCGAGAATATTTATGAAACTCATCCTGTACTTTACATAATGGCATTTGGTTTAGTTACTGCTAAAATAACAAATAAACTTGTGGTAAATAAGCTTTATTCAGTATCACATTTTAATTTTTATTATACAATTCAATTTTGTCTTATTTTCTGTTACTAGATTGCTCATATGACTAAAAGTCCAATAGAATATGTCGATTCCACGCTTATAGGCCCAGCCATGTTATTTTTAAATCAATATTTTGATTCGATTTTGCCAGAATACTATGTGTTGTGTGTTTGCATGGTAATAATTTATTAATATCTTATTTTATTTTATTTTTTTTTGTTAAATATTATTGTTAAATTGGAATTTATAATTGCAGGCATGGACTGTTATTGATCTAGCAGTATACTCAATATTTGTTTGCAAAGAAATATGTGATCATTTACGAGTTTACTTATTTTATATAACTACTACTACATCAACTGCAAAATCTGGCGCTTCTTTTAAAATTACAGGTACACATAGTAAAAATGGTAGCAACAATTCAAGTGGCTTGTATCAACAGTTTAAATATCCATCTACATTTACTAGTTTTATATATCCATCAAAAACGAAAACAAAATAATAACATTAAGTTAATTGTAGTGTTAATCATTGTTAATCTCATTGTCGACGATAAGCAACCAATATAAAAATATTGAAGTGTTTGTTGATATTATTTTGGTTTTTATTTCTAATGTAATTATATTTGTTATTATATTTATTTGTACCGAGTACGCGGCTGATGCAATCACATGTATATTAGGTGAATTTAAAACCTACTGTTGCCAAATTGTACATGAATATATTAACAATGACTGTTTGTTATTTTATGTGAGATGTAGTCTTTGCCTTATATTATATTATTTAAGTGGTTACGTTTAGTAAATAATGGGATAGGTTTTGAGTTAACTATGTAATTGATATTGATTATAAAACATTATTCAAAACAATATTATGGACTTAGTATTGAAATGTTAAATTTCCATATTAACAGTTCGGGTAATACATCGAATACAAGTTTACTATTACCAATAAGTCTAAAGAACAAATTTTTTTTCAACATTTTTAGTGCTTAATTGAAATGTTGTGATGTTATCACATCTATTATAATTTATAAATGAAAATGTTTATACCTTATCGTAATTAAGTTATAAGTATAAGCGTTTTATAAATATAATTGTACTTTACAGTCCTAGTTTGAAGTTTTATTGTTTTATAAATTAAACCAAATAGACTGTATACAAATTTGGATATCATGTAAGATTTATGGTTTTCATAGTTTTTTAATTTTTTAATTCACAAAACTTATAATTGTAGTAAACAGTAGTTACAGGGATATCTAACTATTGTCTTATATTAATATAAACATTAAATCTAATGCCATATTTAGAAAACATATTGCCCAATGGTGGACAATTGCGGGGTGCACTCATAGACATAAATAGAAGGGGGCTCGGGTGGGCTTAGCCCACCCTTCAGCCTCTCAAGCCCACCTAAAATCATGACAAATTATAATTATAATTTGTCATGTCTAAAACACTACAACCTCTTCCCTCTGTTAAACATTTTAACTATGGGCTTGAGCCCACTCAATTAAATGGCTCTAGTTACGTCTATGGGTGCACTGAATAATAAGTATACTAACTTAAAATTAGCACAGCACATTTTGTATAGTCATCACTCATTGGACAGGATGATATATTTGGGATCTAAAGATTTTGTTAGATTTTTTTAAGTCAGTCTTTACAAATGTCACACAATGTTTAGCAACTAGCCAGGGCACTTTCTTGATGAAATGTGACACCGTTCACTAGATTTGGTTATAATTTAGAGTTTCGTTATAACACCACTCAAAAATCTTTAAAAAGTTCAAGTTGTACAATTATTGTTTTATAAGTTTAATAAATAAATACATTATGTCTAAAACGATCAGTATTCATTATTTTTTAACATTAAAAATGAATGGTTGATAGGAATTCTAGTTTTATTTAAACTTTAAATGAAACCATGACTTTTATAAGAATTTAAATATTTTGTTAAACATAAACTGTAGTAGGTACTTACAACAATAATTAAACAATAGTTGTAGTAAACAATGCATTTGTATTTTATTTGATAAAATTAACGCCACATTAAACATACATTATACCTAAATGTACAACATTTTAACAAAGATAATTTTAAACAAAATTCGATACAACTATACATTTTTATAATGCCCTAAACATATGTATGTACCTACAATTATCAATATTTTTATATTAATAACATTATTGCAAGTACTTGCAAGAAATATAACAGTTACATAAGTTTAAGAAAATATAACTAATCTGTTATTAGGTACTTTTCTTTCCCTAATATTATAATGTTCATAATAATAATTAATAATAATTATAATTATTATTATAATAGTTTTTATCCTATAAATATATTTTAAATGAAAACATATTATGCAGTAAAGTTATGAATAATCTGAATAAATCTAATTAAAAAAATGGTGTTACGAAAGTTATTTAACCATTTAAACACGAATGGCCCATGGACATGAAAACTATATGATAATAAACAAAAAGGATATTCTACTTAATTCTAAATACCATATTTCTGTGTTTACATTTTTAAGTAGGTAAACACCTGTAATGGTTGTCTGACATATATAATATTGAGACATTAGCATTTGTTTTCACTTGATTCGGCTGAATATGTTGACAATTTCCGTTGTGTTTTCTCTTTATACGTTTGACTAATTGTCCGTTTGTGCCCGGCAGCAATATATGAAAACACACATAGCACTGCATAACAAATTTGTCCAGCCTTAAACAGACAAAATTGATAAAATAGTTGTGTATATAGAATACAATTTATTTTAAGAATTATTGATGAATCCATGCATTTCAAAGCAATTCAATGCATCAACTAAGCTACTATCAGTTTATTGTATGTATAACATATTTTCTAAGAACCTACACTCTCATTTTCTCAGTTAGTCTGACATTTGTTTACATTCTACTGTAACTATTTTGAGAAGTACATTATAATTCAGGGGACTTTAAATTGTGAAAACCGAAATTGTTGCTAATCTGTTAATACTAATACAATTTTACTAATTTTTTGTTTAAGTAATAATTTATGTATCAGAATAAGATATATTTTAATAATTTATATAAAAAAGCATTCTATATTTTAAAAAATATTAAATTTTAAACCTTTAAAAAGGAGCGCAAAACAAAAAAAGGTTTTCTTCAAATTATTATTAAATGCTAATTCATTGTAGTCAGAACTACTAAAAGCAATTTTGTAAAATTTTGTTCATCCAATTTGAAAAATATATTATTTAAGGAGATATTGGAATATCTAGAATAACCATGTGACGTTACTTAGTCGAGGTCGACATAATAGCCTATCTTAAGCGTGTTAAAGTTGCTCGCTTTACACAATTATTTACCAACCTAATATATTTTTTTTTTTATGTTAGATTATTGTAGATGATGTGAAATTTTGTGATTAAGACGATAGAAGTTTCAGAATTTCAATATAACTAGGTTTTTTTTTAATATTAAAAATACTAAATAGATATTTTGGTTACGTACATAAGTACATAGACTTTTTAAATATTTCAAAAAAACTAAACACATTTTTGGAAAATTTTTGGTTCCACTAACGTTTTCAGTAAATAAAAACACATCATATACGTACAACAAAAATTAGAAAATATACTTTAAAGTAATATAGTAAATAAAAACTTATTTTTTGTGTTTTGTGCTCCTTTAAGTATAATACAATAATATATCAAGCAATTTAATAAAGAAAATATTTTTTTTTGTTAAATTATCATATCGTTAATCTAAATGTATTACCACTATTAAATAATTAATAAATAATTTGTAGGTTAATTTTGATGGAAAAACCATAAGTAGACAAATTTACTGAGAAAATGAACGTAGATTGCACTAAGTGAAATAGACCACTCTGTATTATTGTAGGTTTATCGTATATAATAAAATAATATAATAAAAGGTAATAAAAAAAAAAACAAAACAAAACAAAACCTTAATATGGGAGTGACAAACAAGAACATTCCGGTTTATATTATAATAATAATTTAGCTCTCCGTGGCTTTCATCGTTCTCAGCATCAATGTTTGCGTATATACAATAGACATGATGCGGTGCAAAGACAATAACATTTCGCTAGCCTAAAACAACATAATGTTAACTATAAAAAATAATATGATGTAAAATAATCACCATCGACAATTATCAATACATTTTACATAGCAAAAATAATTCTTTGGAAATATAAACGCAAATGCAATTTTTGTCATGCAGATGCAGTTGATTCATGTTGGAATGAGTTAATATATCTTTAGCCATAACTAAATTTAATTGTATAAGGCTATAGTAATATCCACAGTGGCTACAGTAGCTAGTCAGTATATTATAATAATGTCAAGATGACGTTGTAGTAGCATGTATTGTCTCCATCTTAATAATGTATAATAATATACCAAAATCTACGTCCAGAGGTTCTAATTTTGTGTTGTTGGCTTAAATATTATGGTGAATTAACCTGTTATAAAATACAAACGAGAGGCCAGGTAGTAGTAAAATGGAGAGAACATATGCAAGAACAACTCTTAGGTAAAAGAAATTTTGTTTTATACTTTTAAATGTACAGTGAAATCATACCCATAAGGCCATAGCTCATAGGAAAAACTAATAGGAATACAAATAGGCGTGCACAGGTTCTCTTGATTGGGGTGGTAGTAAAAGGGAAGGGAATTAAGAGTTTTTATTCAATATGACAGTATCATTAATACAAAATCAAAAAAAGTAATCCAAATTATATTATATAATTTTATAAATTTGCTACAAATTGTTTAGGTACCAACCTAAAATATTTAATTACTTTAGCAAAATAGTTCACGACTTTTTAAAATTAACCATTAGTTTAATTTTTTTTAACAAATATCATAAATCATTATGTAATGATCATGTCATCATGACAACAATAGTAGTTATTAAAACAAATAACAATAATAAGAAAATATAGATTGCCTATTAAAACATGAAAATACCTCAATTTGTTAGTTGATACTTGATAGTCATTGTTATTTTATATTATTATACATTTATACATTAATACAATGATACAATAATACCTATTACCTAACTACCTAAAAATAAAACTGTAAACTATAAACTGTAGCAGCAACTCTCTCAGAGAGGTAGCTGCCTCCAGTGAAATAGTATTTAATGAAGCACCTTGTGTAAAGTGGAGGTGGTATCTAATGAAAATTGTTTATAATTACAATAATTATACTTTAAATTAGTTGGGGTGGGGCGGGTGGAGATTGCCATCCCATTAACATGTTGTGTGTCTCGGTATACTACTTATTATAGTGTTTAATGAAAATGCAGTTATACTTCCACGCTGCCTCCTAGCACCCTCTTGGCACGCCTATGGATACGTAGGTACCTATAGCAACCCCTATACCCCTATATCACTATTACAGCCTATACATATACCAACAGTATAGAATTTAGAACACATACTATTGTAATACACTAGTAGTTTAGGAAC